TTATACTTTAACATTTCAAAGATTTCACTTAAATGGTCTTAGTTGTTTCTCATAGGAATACTATGAAATAGGCAGAGCAATTATTATCCTTATTTCACAGTGGGGAAACACCTCCAAAGAGAATCGATGAGCTAGTCAAAGCTGTAAGTGTGCTCATGTTTTCCTGTCATCTGGATTTAAAATACTGAACTCATCTCTACTCCTTCATTCAAGAAAGCATCAATTCCTGTAGGCTGTTTCTACAAACATGCTTCCATTTCTTCCTCTCTGTTTCCTTTCCCACCATCCAGGTTTGACAACCTGGGTTACAAGTGGGAGCTGGACTTCCAGTGGCTGCTCTTTCCTTCCAGCCCATCCGCAGTCTCAGTGCAGACTAAACTTCCCTAAACACCGTTTCCATTGTGTCATTTCCTGCCTCTCTCCTGCCTCAACCAAGATTTCAAAGTTCTCCTTCATCTCAACTCACCTTTCCCAGTACATACTCAAAGCAGGTGATCTGGAAACAGGAATGTCCAAAGGACGCCAGTTAAAACAATCATTTCAGCTATCAAATCACCGAAGTTTTGCAGCTTTTTCTTTTAAGATGATATTGTTCAATATTGGTAAAACAGTAATAAAAGTCTCTTATCCTTTGCTAATAGAAGTGTTGACAAATATAATTTTTGGAGGGCAATTTGGCAATATGGATCAAATGTGTTTGACCCAGAATTCTTTATGGGAATATATCCTAAGGAAATAATCTGACATACAGAAAAATATTTATGCCTAAAGATGTTAATTATACTCATATCTACAGTTATAAATTATTAAATATGATCAATGTCAATAACAGGGAAATGATTAAAATTATAATAGGTACATAAGATAGATAACTGTTAAAAATATATAAGGATATAGAAAAATACAATATATACTAAGGAAGAAGCAGTGTTTAATATTTAGAAGCAATTTTATGATTATTCACTAAGGATTTTGTTTTCTTTCCCTAAAACATTACTTCACACTTCTTTCCTCTCTCTTCAAAGCTCCAAAATTCCTTTCTCTTCCTTTAGCAAATGAATAGCACCAGTTTATTGAGAAAATGTCTCATCAAAATTTCCACCCTACCTTTCCCTTCAAACTCTCATCTTTCCTGTTAAAATGAACTAAGTGTCCCTGCTCCCATCCAAAGTCAACTTGGTCACTGAGTCCATGTCCCACACTTCTTCGGGGATTCTGCTCTTGGTATTATTTCTTCTGCCTCCCGGAGTCGCCAACTTCCCTGTCTTCCAGAGCATCACTGTCACCAAATAAGCATGCTATAAAATTCTGTATCTTGAAAAATAATTTTTTGACCTTATGTTGTTCTCCAGCCACCTCAATGAAAGCAAACCTCCCTTCACCATCTTCACCAGCACCTTCCCCTCTCCTGCTGCAACCGTGGTGGGCCTTTTCTGCCACGCATCACTGAGATGTCTTGCTGTCACATCTGGGGTGGCGTATTTTGGGTGGGTCCTTGTAGTCCCTTGCAGCATGGAACACAGCTCACTGCTCTCTCCTGGGCTTTCCTTGGGATCTAGAATGCATACTCCCCAGGTTTTGTCATCACTTCCTGGGGTCCTCCTCCTACTCTATGACTGCTTTCTCCTCTTACTCAAATTTTCTGGGCTCAGCCTTCAGATTTCACTCATCTCCCTCAGTTCTCTGTTCATGATGCCTATCTCTGTGCCTGTGACTTGCCTGCTTTCTCTCCTCCGATTCTATAACTGGCTCTTATCCTGACCTCCTTCCTAAGCATATAATAAAATTTAAACTTCAGTGTGTGGAAGCCATCTCAAGTTTATGGTGTGCCCAATGGGTCAGAATGTGATCTTTCTCTCTGAAATCTGCTCTCTCCAATCCTGCCCTCTCAGGAAAGATTCCATCTTTCTCCCACTTGTTCAGATCCTTGCCCTGGAGGCCAACCTTCTACTACTCCTTTGTATGTATCACACACTGCCCATAAGCAAACTGACTGGTGTTGCCTTAAAAAAAAAAAATCCCCAAAGCCCCTAAACCTCACTACTGCAACATAGTCTCTCCAGCCAAACCACCACGTCTTTCAATGGACAAATTCAGCAGCCACCGACAGAGTTTTCCATACCTCCAGCAGCTTTAGACTGCACTTAGAGTAGCCCTTACTGTGGCCTCCCGGCTCACTCATGACCTGGACCCTGTCTTGTTCCCTTTTCCCCCCAAGTTCTGGCCTAGCTCCAAGGGCATGTTGGCCTGTGTTCCACCACTGAGGCATGTTTCCAACCCTAGTTCTCATCTCCTGCTGACTTGCTTTGAGCTCGCCACAGTGGCCTTGTCCTGCTTCCTAAGCTCATTTCTGCCCTCAGAGCCCACATATTTGCTACCCCCAAGTAAAATAACCTAAAGTGCTATTTTCCAGGACCTCAGATGACTCAGTCTTCCCAGGGTCTTCAACTTGGTTTCTGGTCTTCATAGACACCTTTGATCCTTGAAATTATGTGATTTAGGAATCTCCAAAACTAAAACTTAAAATCTCTGTAGGCAAAAATTTTACTTGCCCACTTGTTATAGTATCACCAGCATATAGAGTACTGTCTAGTATGTACAAGGAGCTCAAAAATATTTGTGATATGAGGAACAAATTATGTAGAAGTTCACAAAAATAAGAGGAAAGTGACCACATCTAAGAAGAGATAGGATTGTGTTTTGTTGGTCTTTTTTTAAAAACAGATTTTATGCTTTCAGATATTTCTTAAAATTTCTATTTTGGTTATATTTTTGGAATCAGGAAAATATAAACTATTTAAACTAACAAAATATAGACTGGAGGCTAGTCTGGCTCACTTTATTACTATCCAAGAACCAGCCCCCATGTACACTGGCTTCTACATCATGCCATTTTTCAAGCCTTCCTTTCTCACCACACCTCTGCCAATCTTTCCCATCTCATCCAAGATCACCTCCTCCACACAGCCTCCCCTGAGTATATCCATCCATGTTGCTCTCTGCCCCTTCCCACACTGTGCACTTAACTGGGTATGTGGTTCAAACATTTATTCATCCTCACTTATTAAATATGTAATGTGTGCTTATGTATGTGCCTGTGATTATGAATGAAAGACACACAGAAACAGGAAATTTAAATAAATTTTCTCTCTTGAACAGACACCATGACTTTCCCTGCTGTACAAAGTCTCTAACATGCACTGGCAGCAGAGGAAATGGTCAATAATCGCTCAGTGATAGTGCCAGGTATAGAGCCACCAGGTCTTTGGCCTCTCAGGGGTCTGAGAACTCAGTGCTCCCTGCATCACACCACACTCTTCAGTCTGTAACAAATGTTCACTATTTGCTATGCACTTGTCACTACTTTTCACACTTACTACACAGGAATTGCTTTCTTTTTTATCTTAAGATTGAAGAAACTGTTATGCCTAAGATGTTTGATATTCAGATAGATAGTGAGGTTAAGCTTAACAGCCTAGGTTGTATGGTAATAACAATAAGCTTGTCTTCTGGATGGTTAACAACCTAAGTTTGCAGACCAAAATTAGAGAGAAAGGAGGGCTGCAAGGAAAGCCAACATTTTGGCCCAGCCTTCCAAGGTCAATTAAGACTCAGGACATATGAGAACTTGTACTGTAACATCATGTAACTCAGTAGTGTCCCAAATTTTCTGATCAAAGAGGTTATGGAGCCAAAGAGGAAAGTGATCGATGATGTAGAGTGTGCCTAAGGAGAGTCACATGGAGAGAAAACATTCTCTCCAGCTTTCACAGAGAGCACATTGGCCAAGCAATGGCCATGACTCATCCTGACATTGACAAAGGTTCTACAATCTGAGGTACAGGATCTCAGGAGAAATCCTGAGGGGATTTCACTGACCTTATCAGATCCAAAAGCTACAATTCTTGTGGCATAGGTCTTGCTTTATCTTGGTCTTAACCATCCAGCAGAAAAGTATAAAAACAAAGTATAAGAAGTAAAGTCATGCTATTATGTTGAGCTGTAGGGGACTCAGGTCAACAATTTCTGACACTGCCATTGAAGTGGAAGACCCAATACTATTATGTACTACTGGACTCTTTTAGAATATTTTGCTGAGTTAACACACCTATAATATTCAAATGATAGAACTAAACAAAAAAGGGATACAGATGAATGATCATTTTGTATCTGTATATTCAAAATGGTTAGGATAGATATATAGTTACATTCTCTTAATGAATAGAGAGATTTGTTCTAATAGTGTTTGTAAATAGGATATCATGTCTGCGTCTTGTACAGCAAATAACCACTAGGAAGAATGTATGCAATGTGTTAATTATTGAAACTGTCCTACCAATTTGATTTGAAACTGTCTCATTGCTATATGTCTCTCAATAAAATTATGGAAAAAAAGATTGAAAAAACTGAGATTTAGAAAGGTTAAGTAACTGGTCTTAAGTGATAAAGGCTGTATTGGGGAAGGTGTGGATTCAAACATAGCTTGGGCTCTTGGCCACTATACTACACCACACATCAGGCTGTGTGACAAAGGAAACTTCATTTCCTTTGACCCCTGAGCCACAGATGTGTGTCTGAGGAAACTGCAAGCTTTGGTCAAGTGACTAGACCTTGTGGGTATCTCAGTTTCCTCCTTTGTAAAGGGAGATTATAAATTCCAGGTATTGAGTGCACAGTGGGCATGGTATGAATGTAGTTGTCACTACTAAACATGCCACACCTTTCAAGTCTGGGCTACCCCTCAGAGCACTCAGGGCAGCCCCTCAGAGCACTCTACTGAGTGGGATATGTGCATTTCCAAAGCCGGAGATTGCAGTGCTGCTGAGCAATGCAGGTGCCAGCAAAGGCTTGGAGAAAGAGAACTGACTGTCCGCCCAGGTTAGCAAGAGCTCGGATTTCCTTGTCTGCACGCAGAAGAATAGGAAGACACTTGGGTCATCGAAGTAGCTGTTTCTGTTTGTCATTCAGGCTCACTAATCTAAACATCTCTCACCCCTCAGGAATTATTTTAGGACCAGGAAACAGCACGCTGTTTATTGAAAGAGTCACAGAGGAGGATGAAGGTGTCTATCAGTGCAGAGCCACCAACCCAAAGGGGGCCGTGGAGAGTTCAGCGTACCTCACCGTGCAAGGTAAACAGCTTGTCGGAGGGCCACCAGAAGCGGCTCAGACACCTATTTCCCTGTTTGCTTAACTCCCCACCTCTCATCTCCTGCCTCCCACCAGCCCACCCGCGTGCTCCTCTCCCTGACCTCCTCAGCCTCTCCCGGAAGGGCTGTCTGGGTCAGGCTGGCAGGGCAGCAGGTGGAGATTCCGGCTGGCACAGGCTCTGCAAGGAAGAGGTTCCTGGAAGAAAGGAACCTCGCTGCTGGCAGCATGATTACAGTGACACACAGAGAAGGGGCCCGGTGGGTCAGACCTGGGAGACAGAAGGCCAAGAAGAGAGAGAAGGCAGGGGTTGGGTGTGGGGAGAGTGGGTGAAGAGGGAGGCACCCACCTCTTTGAGTTTGTTGTTTGTTTTTTGTTTTTTCTGATTCACAGAAGTTAGACATATGCTACTTTGTGTGTGTGTGTGTGTGTGTGTGTGTGTGTGTGTGGTACTGGAGATTGAACTCAGAACCCTGCACTCGCCAGACAGGCACTTATTTTACGGATCTCCCCAGCCCAATATGCTGCTTTTTGCAATATTTTCTTAAGCTAGTTTTTATAGTGAATAGGTGTAAAATATTATCAGAGAGAAGCAACACATAACAAACCATATTTAAGAAAAATATGCCAAGGGCCAGGGAAATAGCTCAGTAGAATAAGCACCTGCCTGGCAAACACAGGGTCCTGAGTTCAATCTCCAGTACCAAAAAAAAAAAAAGAAAGAAAGAAAGAAAGAAAGAAAGAAAGAAAGAAAGAAAGAAAGAAAGAAAGAAAGAAAAAGAAAAATATGCCAAGTGCTTCTTCCTCCTCCTAGGCCTCAGACACCTTGTTGAGCAGTAAAATACAAAGAGGTCTCATCTAACCTTGATTATGACCACGCGGTTTCCACTTGCAAACTAGAGTTCGGTTTCAATTCCCCAACGCTACAATCATCTAAAACATAAAATTTACAGTATCATAAAATAAAAAATTAGCACCTCTCAGACATAACTGCTAGCAGAATATCGAGGCTTGACCCGAGAACTGCAGGGCGGTCCGCGGCCTGTTTCCGAGTCCCACCAGCATACAGTGATGCCTCGGTTGCTGAACAGCTCCAAACTCGAACTTTCTCCTCCTCAAGCAGAAAAATTAAAAGAAATCTGCTTGGTGTTTGTAACTTCCCTCCGTAGTCAACCAAAAATCTGACTTGATAAAACCCACACAGGCTGAGAGGGAGTCACACGACAGGGTGACGCTTCCGTCGGAGCACCGCCCTCACCCCAGCACGCCGGGCTTGTTAGTGCGTTCAGACATTCCTCACTGTGCCTTGTCTTGTGCACTTCATTTGCATAACATATTGTAACCATGGCTCCAAAGGAAGTCAGCAATACCAGCAGTAAAGCTAGGAGGAAAGCTGCAAGAGCCATGGCAGAGTTAAAGAAGGAAATCATTGTGAAATATGTTAAAATCCTGGAACAATGAATTTTTAAGTGTAAGCTTTGGGCCTTGGAACAAATTATTTGCTTTTCAATTATTTCTTATGGAAACTGTGTTCAATTCTCAAACTTTTTGATGTTCAAACATGAATTTGGAATGAAGAGTGCAACAAGCACGGTTTCACTGTATTTCAAAATACACAAATGCTGGGCTGGAAATGTGGCAAGCACTAGGGCACTCGTACAGTGTGTGCAGGCCTTGGGTCAAGCCTCAGCACCACCAAAGCAAAACAAGAAAGTACAAACAAAATAACCCCAGAATATGCAAATGCTCCTGAGGTAGGAACCAGGAAAAAGATGACTTGCTTTAGTTCCTTTTCCTTGGAAACTTACATTGCTTAAAGACGATCACTCTGAGAATTCAGACTTCTTTAAAACAGACACCCTCTCCACTGGTTTTTGTTTGTTTGATTTTTGTTTTGTTTTGTGGTACCGGGGATCAAACTCAAGACCTCGCACTTGCCAGGCAGGCTCTTAATCTGCTGAGCTATCTCCTCAGCCCTCATCTCCATTGCTCACAAGGAGGTAATTTAGACTTTCTTGGAGCTGAAAATACCACGTATTTATGTTTGCAGAAAAAGTGGAAAATTCCCCCCAAATACCCTTAGAATTGTCCTGTTTGTTTCCCAAGTGATCCTCTTTATAAAATGCTCTTTCAAGGGCCAGGGATATAGATCAGCAGGTACAAGCACCTGCCTGGCAAGTGGTCTGATTATATATATATATATATATATATATATATATATATATATATATATATATATATATATAGGCTTAAGTGCCATAGAAACTAATTCTCTTCAGAGACCAGAGGACAACATACTTGATCCTGTTACCCTACAGAAGTAAAGTGTTACACTCAATCCACAGATGGAAAGATGGAGACTGAAATCACACAATAAGCACATGGTGAGGCTGAGGCAGTGTGAACCTCCAAGAATCCCATCCTTCTTCCACTCTTCTCATTCCTGAGAAGGACGTGGTTGGCAAGGTCTTAGGAAAAAACTGACCTTCTCTACTTTCAGTTATCCTGTCAGTTTGGTTTTCTCACTTCATACCTCTTCATTCCTTACACTGGTCCTTTTTCTACCTGCCATTATGCTTGTCTGAGATGTCAGACTATTTAAAGAATACTGTATCATAGTTTTCTGACGTTTCTAGCAGCCTTTGCTATTTACTCCTGAGGAAAAGAGAGAGTTTCCACTTGAATCGCCGTGTTGCCCTCCACAGCCAGTGTTCTGATCTCTGTCGTCTCTTGCCATTGCCTTTCAGCTTCCCATCCCACCCACCTAGTTTCACCGTCCATCAATCCACCCCAATCTAAAGTGGTACTTTCCAACCGTTGTTTCCCAGCTTACTGTATCGCAGTAGCCCCCAGTTGCCTACCGGCCTCCTCCAGGTACACGCTGTGCTCCATCGAGCTCTGAGGGTTCCTTCTCAGCCTCATCTCTCAGCCTCACTGTTCATTCCCAGACCTCCAGCTAAACCACTGAGGAGTCCCTGAACGCACTCCATGGGCTCTGTTCTCTGCATCTGTTTTCTGATATGTGGGCAGCCTTCCCTTCCCACTTGTTCTTTCCCTACTCATCCTTCAAGACCCACTCTGTGTTACTTCTCTATCGCTGACCTATTTCTTCAGCATTTTTTTCACTCTGTGCTCCCACAGTGCTTGTTATGTCCCTGGAAGTGGGACTTGCCATTGTTTCTTGTTTTTTTATTTTTGTAGTACTAAGATTAGCCGAGGGCCTTCACACGGAGTTGCATCCCCAGACCTTTTTATTTTTTTATTTTGAGACAGGGGAGCTTCACTAAGTGAAGTTGTCCAGGCTGGTTTCAAACTTTGGATCAACCTGTTTCAGCCTCCGTTTGTGCTACACCTGGTTATATTCATTTTTCTATCCCAGAGTGCTGAGTAAATGTGTATGGATCATTATATGTAGAAAACCATATTTTATCTAAATAGAAAATATATTAAGGGCTGGTGAGATATCTCAGCAGACTAAAGCACCTGCTTAGGCAAGCTTAGGCAAGAGCATGGACCTCGGTTTGATCCCCCGCGTGACATGACACGCCAACCCCACCCCCAGGGCAGGCTGAGGTGGCCACAGAGTCTGGGTACAATGACGTACACCTGTAATCCTAGCACCAGGGAGGCTGGAAACAGGAGGATCACTATGAGTCTGAGCTTCATAGTGAGACCCTGTAACAACCAGATATATTTTTAAAAAGAAGAAAATATATTAAAATTAGCTTAGTAAATCAATAATCTGCCTAAGATTATGCAGGATATAGAAATGTGATCCATGATCCCTAACTTCAGAGTGCCCCAGACACCCAGATCAAGGTGCGTAGGAACCATGTCAACAAACATTTCGAGCTCCTCAGAAGGGCAAAGCAGGAACACTAATTGGTACAAAAAAGTCAACACAG